TGTGTGTGTGTGTGTGTGTGTGTGTGTGTTGGAGAACTTAAGCCCTCCCTGGCCTGTTCCTGCTCCCAACCAACCCACTCTGAGCTGCTTTATAAAGATTTATGCAAGGGAGTTAGCCTCAGCTTACAGTACGTGATGTGTGTGAGTGTGTTCAGTTGGCCATGTGTGTCTAAATCACCAACTACACGTTGTGTGCCTCATTAACTTTCAGCCAAATGGGACAGCAACAACTTGCATTGAATTAAAAGAATTGTGTGTGTGACAAGATTGAGATTTAAGCTGAACGAGAAAGACAAATTCAAAGGATGAAATATGCAAAATATCGTTTCACAACATTGTGACAAGGCTCGGCACAATCATGCAGACAAACGTCACTTCACTGTACAATAACAAAGCACAGGGCCATTCAAATATATATGAGCAGCAAACCAATGCCCGGTAACCAAGAAAATCATAAACAGCACAACATTTTCAACATGACAAAATAAGTCAAAATATCAAGAATTTATGCTGAAAAAGTGGCATAACATATCCATGCTCATATGTTACCTCGTCTCCTGCTATAATTCCTGGCTGCATGTGGAATAAGGACAAACCAAAGGAGAGGATGGTTATTAAAAGATGTTTTATACACTATACCCCCAATAAAAGCGTCACATGGTTCATAACAGCTGAGGGATGATCCGTTGCCTGCCTGTCCTCTATTCTACTAGTCAGCTGTGAATTATTATCATCCTGTGTGACTGTCAACATATTGCTTTACTGAGTAGAGCATAAAGTTGACATACAGTTTCTGCTTTAGGGACATTTCAGTGAATTACTTGCAGTTTGAATGTGTCAACAAAATAGTTCTATCTCATGCTTCTCACCAAGGTTCCGGCATATTTCAATGAGTTAAATCTAAGCCTTTGAAAAGTTTTTTAAGACCCATGTCAAGAAGGAAAGATATGAAGGCATATCGGAGTCCCGGAAATACTTACAACTGCCTATAATTGAAGATAATCCTTGATACGCTACGTTATCATGCAAACATGGCAAGAGACAGTAGCTATCCACGGTCTTTCTTACAGCCAAGCCAAGTGTACTGTGATAAATTCTGACTGGAGAGTTTGTTTATCAGTGATCAGTTCAACGTTGGTCTTGTAGTTTTATTACAGTATGCTAATATCTGTATCATTGAGAAAGAACTGCAACACGGAGACATTACAAACTACTGGATATAAGCCACCAAAATATTCATCTTGAAAATATTTCATAATTTATAAGTGTGACAGGAGTAGAGTTGAATTAACACAAGACCCAATGAAATCCCTGTTCAAATAGGGACAGAGATAAAATAAATGTAAAAATAAAGTTGCTTCATTATTAAAACAGATCAAATAAACTATTGGAAGAAACAAAGGACAGCTCAGTATAACAAAGCTGCATAAAATAGAGACAGTAATGAACATAATTAATCATTTTTATAACAATAAAAAGACATTGGAATACAAGAAAGGGCAACTGAGAACAGAAATAGATTAAATAGGAAATAGATTTCCGAGATTAAAATACTCATGCAGTGACTTTGCTGAACTGAGTTCCCCGAAGCAGGCCGCTCTGAACCGTGATAACCTTGACAGAAATAGCACAGTAACCTTAACTCTACCCGGCAAATAAGAAATAGCCATGAGGCTCCCAACTCCAACAAAACACAACTCCTCACATACAGCAGGCAGGCTTCTCAAGGAGAAAACAAATGACCAAGAAGACACTTTGAAAACTTTCTTTGAAAACTCCGTCAGGAAATATGTCACAGATCGAAAACATTTACTGTTATGTTGCGTTCTTAAAAATGACATGATCTTAATGCCTCAGTTCCACAACAGAAATATTCAATCAACATAGCTGCAGATGAAAAATGCATTCCAGTTATTAGAGCAAATTAAGGGAAAACACATTCCCCAAGTTCCTCAAGACGGGCTTAATGTGCTGAAATTAAGAGTCACGACGGTGTAAAAAAGTGAGGCATGCATAGAAACACGCTCAGGGCCAAATTACAATTTATAATGAAAGGACAAGACCTTGCAGTGTACGTAACAATGTCTAAACATCTGTGAAATGTATCCAGTTAACTCATTTCGACTAAAAGTAAAACCAATAACCCTCTGCTTCAGTGAACAAACACTAGACAGCATCTAATGCTTCAAATAGCACAAACAGAGAATATACACAACCCTGACAACAGCAGACTCAGTTGTTATAATTCAACAATAAACTTAATGAGACTGACAGAAGTAATAACACAGCAGTTGTCATGTCACGATCCACAGGGTTAAAGTTTGGTTCTCCTTAAGCCTAAACACAAAGCATCCATGACAGCACGCGAGCGGTGACCGTTGTAGCCTCCATTGTTTGCAGAGTAAACACGTCAGCAGCCCTGTGGCCAAGGAAGGCAGTGGAGGCAGCAAGGAAAGAGAGGGCCACCCTCACGTACATGAGGCTATGCCTCTGTCGCTTGACATGATGATTGTTGAACTTTCCTCAGGTAGCTCCTGTGTGCTCGCCCTGTAATCATGGCAACCAGAGGCGGCGTTTGGAGGAAAACAGTTGTGAACCATGGCATCTTCTAAATCTATGCAGCATTCGATCGAGTTAGTGCCCAGCTTTCTGTACACTAAGAGAGTGATGTGTTTCAAAAATGAGGGTGGCACTCTGATCCGCACCAATATTTAATATGTTCTTCCCTTACTCATACCACGCCGAGTTCTGTGGTCATCCTTCCAGCAGTTCTTGTTTTAAAACATAACCTCCTTATATGGGTAACTAAAATGTCTCTCAGTAGAGCAGATACATCTTTCAAGGGAGAACAACCCTAAACTAATGTCCAGTTCTTTTTGTCAAAATATAAAGAGGTGTACTGAGGCTGGAGTGTCTCTGCAGCTGCCGAAGGTTTGGTTTGGTTCCAATCCGGACCTATCTCTCCCCATTTCATGCTTAATTATCCTATAATAATGCCTTAATGCAAAAAATAAGTTATCTGATAACCTAAATGAATAATTTGTCATGTAACATAGTTCTAAACGGTGTAATATCAAGATTTGTGCATTATTCCCATGAAAATCATGGATATTTTGATCAATGCTCCATTTTGCAATGTTAAAGAAAGTAAACAAAATTCCTTCATCCACCCCAGAAATGAATATGTTCTTAGACGAAGGCCCCATCCCTTCAGTAGGTTCGGTAAAATCGGTTTAGTAGCTTTTGCATAATCCTGCTGACAAATAAACAAACACACGAGTGAAAACATAACCTCCTTGCTGAAGGTCAATATTTTGTTGAATCAACACAAGAAACTGGAGACCTTTTTTTTTTTTATTCACACAGAAATACGACTCTTTTGTTCTGCCTCAAAACATGTCATCACACATCCACCACTTCTTTCAGCACACCATGTGGTTCAATGTGACATGCGTACACAGAAAGTTGCTCCTTTTACTAACTCTACTTAACACGCTCACTGAAAAATCATTTCTCTTTGCACAGGCCCGAAGTGAAATGTATTAAAATATGGACACTGCAGAGACTAAAGCATCAACCCAGCTGAAAGCGTATAAGAACACAGAGAGGATGAAGAACTGGCCAGTACACACAAGCAATAATCCTCAGCTCCCTCCGTGGACTTTCCAACCCAGATGGACATTAACTCTGGGGGAGAAGGTCAAAGAGAGCTGGAAAGAGAGAAAGAAAGAGAGAGAGAGAGAGAGAGAGAGAGAGAGAGAGAGAGAGAGAGAGAGAGAGAGAGAGAGAGAGGACGGACAGAAAGAGACAGGAAAGCAGATTGAAAGAGAGCAGAGGGTGCTATAAAAAGACGTGTGTGTATGTGTGAGTGTGCGTGCAAGTGAGCGAGAGAGAGAAAATAGATTGGAAGAGATGAAGAAACAAGCTGATAAAAAGCTATGTGGGGGTGAGAGAAAATGAGAGTGAGCGAGTGAGATCAAGAGAATGGGGAATGCAATCTGTGTATGCTTATGAGAGAGAGAAGGGGAGAGAAAGAGTGGTGTGCACAACCCTCTATCCGCTGGCACCATCTGTTTCAGGGCTTGATGACAGCTCCTGACCATGTGATCTCACCATGTGACCCAGCAATCTTATGAAGAAACTACTGGCCTCTCCTGTTTTACATCCTGACCCGAGACCAGAAGGCAGAAGCGACAACAACACAATTACACAACAATAAAGAGAATGAGATTGTGCAAGGGCACTCTGGAGGCAGCTGAATATTAAACTGCTGTTTGTGGAAACCACAGCACATGTCGAGGGGATTTGGCAATTTTTTTTCCCAATCATTTCAGAGAGGCAGAGATATTTATATGCAATTTAAGAGGCTTTTTTACTGAGTCCAAACTGACCGTATGAGGAAACACTACCTGGGTTTGAAGAGTAAGTGATCACAAATTCCATGGGCTGTATATCATCATATTTTGCTTTAACAGAGGCACAGATGATTGTATTTAAAAGCAGAAATCAAAGAACAGAAGACTTGCCTATTAGAATGGCACATACCTTCACCAAGGCCGAACAGTCTACCTAAATTCAATTGGACGTGCCCAATTTTTTTCACGCAATGTTAAAGAAAGTTTTATTGAAAAATCGTTTGTGTAATCCTGCTGACAAACCAACCAACCAAGAATAGACAAACTGACCAGGGCGAAAACATAGCCTCCTCTGTGGAGGTTATCAGAACCCCTATAATGAAGGGATATACAGCAGCACAGTGGTCAGACCAAATTCAAACAACATCCCTGGTATGAATCATCATCTTAATACTTCTTGTCTGCTTCTCTACTGTGTCTATCAAATGAAGGCAAACGCCTCTTAAAACAAAATAAGACGTTATTTACAGGCAAAGACGGTTTGAGTGCACATACAGCGAGTCCCATCCTGAGGCCATTCTTCTTTCTAGCTCTATTCCTCACCCCGCTAAAATCCAACTACTTATTTGCTGGCATCAAAAAAAATAATCACTACATCCTCTCCCCATCTACTCTTTCATCCCAGGGACTAAGCAATATCAGTAGTCAAATGACAGGGGAGGACACAACCAACATTACAAAACAAAGTGAAAGGTCATCACTGAAGATGCTTGTTGGTTAAAACTAAATTCATAAAGCTCAAGGATTTCTGATCATTTTTAATTGAGTTTGCACAGAAAATAAGCTATTAAAGGTTTTCACACAATTTATGATTTTAATTTCTAATTTGTAACGTCAATGTCCACGTGAGTAGATCACTATACATACCATTTAGGGGCAGAGGGTTGTCTCCGCCTGGATGAGGGAACCCAAGACGACCTGCACAGGGAGACAGAGCACAAATATTTAAGATGAAGGAGCCAGCATAAAACTAAATGTGATACGAGTTCTGACATAATAATAAGCCTTAAAGCCATTGTATACAAGTTTTGACTTCACTCCTTTTGAAGATAAAATGAAAATCACATCAATCAAAGGTAAAGAGTCTGAGGCATGGACCCAGTAATACTATAAATTAGGCTGCTCCAAATTGGGTAAAAGGTTGTGACCTTGTTAATAGAGCCCGACCAATATGGATTTTTAGGGGCCGATGCCAATTCTATTAGGGAGTAAAGATTTCAGATACCGATATGTTGTCAGATAGGTTAAAAAAATTGCAATGATTTTTAAGAAGTCAGTATAAAGCCTGTATGATGTGTAAATATAATCTAATCTTGATATTTTACAGTTTAACCATAATCATTAATATAAATAATTATAAATAAAAAGAAAACACTTATACAAGTCCTTCATTACACAAATGTATAGTTTGCTTTAATATATATATTAAAGCAGACTATATATTATTATGTCTATATTAGTGTGCTGCTTTTCTTTGTAGCTGTCATAAGATGCTAGATGCTAGCTATATTTACATCTGGATGGATGTATGTGCCGTATACATCATATATAGATAAATAAATCAAGTATATTTTTTAAGTACAATTTAAACATGAATGTACATCTTTACGGCATCGTTTACTCTCCAAAATAAATGTTTTCATTTCAGTAAACACAAACACATATACTGATATGTCTGTGAAATGCTCATATTGGACATTTTTAAGTAGTTGGGCTCAAATCGATGACTCCTGTGATTATTGATGTCCTGGTGTCCATAAACTGACTTTTGAACAACTTTGCACACAAAGTTATATTCTCCAAATAAAATGACACAATTTTAGTTTTATATAACTGGCTTATATAGAAGCATGTATTAAAAGTGCTAATGCAGAGTGTGTTTGGCTGTGGCAGCAGAGAGTGCAATGTTGTTTCCACTTCAATCTCATTAGAGGCTACATCTGTGGGACACCAACAAGCCCTCTCCCTCTCATCGACCTCCATTTCCCTATCTGTGCCTCTCTCTCCTCATCTGAGCATAAAATCATACGTTTTACATTGAGCTATTTGCCAGACACACACGCACGCACGCACACACACGCACACACACGCAAACACACACGCACAAACACACGCACACACACACACGTACACACACACGTACACACACGTACACACACACACACACACGTACACACACGTACACACACGTACACACACGTACACACACGTACACACACGTACACACACGTACACACACGTACACACACGTACACACACACACACACACACACACGTACACAAATACATGTTATGATGCCAAACAAGCTTGGAAGTTATGCAAGGCCCGCTTGCTGCAGAGGGATAATGAGATGAAAGAGCTGAAATAGTACAACCATTGTTGTACGGGTATGGACCGCCCTGTGATTGGTGCATTCCAGTGTCTCAGTCACATGGAAATCTGCTGGCCCCTCCCCCACACCTTGTCTATTGAGCCCCACAGTCGTCAGTAGATGTGGTGCATAATACAGAACTGGGACTCACGGAGCACAGAAACCAGGGCGGACCACCCGCGGCTCCATCAGCTACCATACAATAATACAGATTTCCATACATTAACTCACTGTCATCACAATATGGACATTACCGACACATTTGGCCTAATCAAGCTAAAATCACAGATTCCAGCTAAAACCAGATAACACAGATAAGCTCAATTCCTTCAGACTGCAATGTAGAATTCACCAATTTATCTCCCTCTGTAATTAAATCCAGTAATATGTGCTGATATGTGCACTACCCAAAATCAAAGTCCATTTGAGCAGAACACAACACATTGGATTTTGAGAGCCTTTCATGTTCAGGCGCACAAGCACAGCACATCCCCGGGTGTCTGCAGGGTTGTGCGTGCCCGCTCAGTGAACCATATTTGCATGCTGTTAGCTGCATACATGTACAGTAACAGCTAAAGCACATGCATGCACAAGCACACACCACACATGGCGTGTGAGTGCTTGAGAGTGTGTGTGTGTGTGTGAGAGTGTGTGTGTGTGAGAGTGTGTGTGTGTGAGAGTGTGTGTGTGTGTGTGTGTGAGWGTGTGTGTGTGWGAGWGTGTGTGTGTGWGAGWGTGTGTGTGTGTGTGTGTGTGTGTGGTGGCAGAACAGAGAGATCCTTTCTGTCAGTCAGGACAATGCTGGAAGCGATTCAAAGCCACTTCTACTGTAGACATTTTGTCTCGCCCGTTCCCTTGCTTCATCGCTCTCACTTTGTTCAATATGTTCCACTGGAACGAGACATTTTTGCATCGCTTACGTGCATCAAAAATTTGCTCCTGTGTGTTACGATTCTTGTTTGTTATTTTTGTGTGCGTGCATGTACGTGTGTGTGACAGAGAGCAGGAGTCAGTCGGCCAGGAGAGGAGTCAGGGCTCAAAGAAAATGTGGTTTAATTATGTCTTTCTTTCTACTTAGCTGTGAGGGAATAAAGGGAAGAACTCACTGAAGTCACAGCTACACTACACTGCCAAGTCTGGACTATAATTTTGAAAAGGAGTAATAAATAGAATAATATTTTGCAGCATGCCAAAGGCTATGAGACAAAAAGGAATCTGGAATGGGATCAGGCATGATGCATCATGTGAAAGCAGTAAAGAATGAGGTACTGTACTAGAAACAAATCTGAAGGAGATGATGGCTGAGAAAAAGATGGAGAAAAGGCAAGACAAATGAGGAGTGATAGAAAAGATAAAAATGACAAACTGATACCATGAGTTACAGATAAACGCTTCCAGAGAAGTCTGTCTTTTCCTCAAGCTTGTGCTTTCAGTTGAGAAGACGTGTTTTGTCTCCTGGTGCCACGCTCTGAGATCTAACAGTCGCTGGAATCTGTGCCGGCACAGTTGGATCTAGGATACCAAAGAACGTGGCTCATGAGTTAACTTCAGTCCTCCTCTCTTAATATTAAGGGAAGATTTACTAATGTTTGACAGCGGAACATTAGATCACAGCTGGACGTGGCTGAACTCTGTGGGTGTTAGGCTGAAATAAATAGGACAGTGAAGTGTCTAGTGCTCGGACTTTTCACTCTACATGTTATTGTGGTTGTGAAACTGGTGTGTGTGTGTGTGTGTGTGTGTGTGTGTGTGTGTGTGTGTGTGTGTGTGTGTGNGTGTGTGTGTGTGTGTGTGTGTGTGCGTGTGTGTGTGTGTGTGCCTTTTTTTGTAGAACACATAGAAATGTATACATGCATATTAAACAGGTAATAATGTACTCAAATCTGTAACTGAGATTGGGGAGTAAAGGAGTTTGGAGGATTATCTTGGATTTGTAGACATTTAACATTTCAATGTTCAAAACAGAAAGAAGAGAAAAGGAAAACGTTATTGTCTCTTCCATTTTGAGATCTTTCATTTTGGCGTTTGAGCTCACAGACACATAAATTAATAGTTTCTGGTGCTTTAGCTCGCTGACAGATTATGACAACCACACCATAAACCATTTCTGTGCATCGCTTGTTATCAAGGATTAGAAGAGGAAACTCCTCAGAAATATGGCAGACATCTTAAACTAATATGTAGCAAATCAATCTCCAGCACACCCCATCCTTGAGAAATCAAATGTGTTTCCTTTCAAACAATGATCATTACCAGAACTACTCCGACAAGCTACTCCCTCTCGAACAAGGGCTTTTAACACTGGTCACAATGCTGATTGTCAGTGTCAGTCTTTCTATAATTACTGTCAACACTCAACAATAAAACAACAGCGGCTACTTGCTGAATTCAATAACCTTTTTCTGGGTAACCACTGACCAAGTGTTGCCCAACACCTTTCAGCCAATAACAAACACTGGCTTGTCTCTGTTAATCAATAACCAAAGTTGGTTATAATTCAATTTCAAATAGATTACTCTCTTTGTCAGACTCTGCTTTGTAATATGAAGCACAAATGCTCAACATGTCTATAGACACTCATCAGTACTCATTAAATCCATATTGGATAGAGTTTCAGAGACCATGAATAGTGAATGACATTCACCTAGAAACAAAACAAACTTGAAACTGAAAGGTATAAAATTGCACCTTGCAAACACAACAGATGTTTCATTTGTAATTGTAAATATCTTAATGATTCTGTTGACGTGATGTTAACGGATAAACAACCATAATGTGCATTTAAGCATATCGCAGCTGTGTCAGACTCTTTTTTTAGACAGAAACAACTTAGTCATTGTGTTGAGAAAAGCCATCATCCCTCGAATATAAAAGCTCAGCAGCTGTGATCATAAGAAACTAATGATGGCCAAACAACTTCAGTTGAGATGGATGGGAGTCCTTCCATCTCTCACATAAGTCTCCTCTTAAACACAAGGCCCCAGCATCCATTAGCCCTGTATTACTCCTACCATTAACCATGCTCAGGTGGATTCTCAAAATGAGCCAAAGTGAGAAAACACTTCTTGTTGTTTTTCTTTTGAAATTCAGACTAGGAAGGGAAGTAGGAGGAGGACAGAGGTGTGAGCTGAGCGCTTCACAGAATAACCTTTCTTATTGTTGATCATAACACAAAAAGATGTCTGGTGTGTTTCCTCTGCTCAAACGTGAGGTGATAAATTGTGAACGAGTGTGAATGTGGGTGCGGTTTCCACCTCACATTCAAGTGAAACACTCCTACGTGGTGCGTGGTCACTGAGATACAACTGTGACCCACATCTTTATCTTTATATTAGTGTAGGCTCAATTCACATTTCAATATGTGTCTATTGCCATTATTCTCAATGATCTATAAAAAGTGTTTGGGGTGATTTTTGGAGGATGTATTATCATTCTGGCGCTTCAGTTTAATTTTGAAAGTCACCTTAAATGAGTTGACATGGTTGGGATGAATATTTAGGGGTTCCCACTGTTTTTAGGAAAACATTTTTGTGGCTCTTTCCAGGACATTTTCCAAGAGTCTTTCCTGACAATTCAGGTCAAAAACTGGTCATACAAAGTGTAGGATTTGATTGCATCTTGGACAGGTCTGAGATTTTTTCCATGACTAAAGGATACTCTCTAAATCTTCAGGTTTTTCCAGATGCGTGGGTACCATGATGGTGGGAGAGTGTTGTTAATAATAATATAATATTGAATATATAAAACATAGGGAAGGACAGCTAAATACACTAGTGGGGTACACACTCATACCTGGCTCTTTCCTGTCTGAAAATATAGATCATTTGTGGATGATCTGTTAAATCTTGTGCTGTTTTGCTCATAACGATGTTTGAATCTGATCACGTTTATGTTGTTAACTGTGTACTTAGTGTTTCATGTTGTTGACTGACGGCTGACGTCCTCACCTTTCAGGGTGTCCTGCTCAGCCCTCATGATGTCAATCAGGGAGCTCTCCAGAGTGTTCATGTTGAAGCTGTCAAATGACCTGGTGCGTTCCTGAAGAGAGGAGATAAAGAGGAGGAGCACATTTACATTTTCGGTACGAGGTCAAAGTCAATCACATGTTTTGGTCACTGAGCAGATCCACAGGATCAACTGGGGCAGTCACATTTATCTACACTGGCTCAGTCAACAAAAGCTGACCAAGGAGCAAACCAACACAAGAAGAAGAGGCAGCACTCATCTTCAGTAATACAATGAAAACGTGAAATCTAGACAAAGGGGCAGATCCGTGTCTTTGAGATTTCTGACATTTAAGAGGATTAATATCAATGAGCGTGTGAAATGCTGTCTGGCTTGATTAGATTTTAAAAGGAGAGTTGCAGAGTTATGTGCTCGTCTGATTGGCATTCTACTTTGTTCTGCTTTCATTGTTTAGGCCTCAGACCAACTCTGCCACACCACAAAACAGGAACTCAAAACAATACCTCCGACATCTCTGTGGCTCCGGTGTAGGAACCATTTTTCGGGGTACTTTTTTGGCATCGGGGAAGAAGTGCATCACAGGGCCAGTTTGGAAACAAACCTGCGGACGCTGCAGGAGGTCTTAAGCCTCCATACAACCAGGGGGCCACCGGGTACCCTCTGTGTGAACCATGTAAATTAAACACAGGCTTAAAAGATACTGCTGCATCAGCAAAAATGTTGTATTTGGTTTCTTTGTTGCCTACATATATTTTTTGATGAGGTGTCCTCTTTGGTTTGTGCCATGTTTTTTTTCTAAGCACAATCCCTCTTTTCACCGAGCAACAAACTCACTCATTCAATGAGGCAGAATTATAGAAGACAACAGTGAGACAAACAGGAGCCAAGCCAATTTCTGAGGGACAGCTTTGTCAAATAGAACAAGGGCATCACTGGCATACCACACACACACACCCATCCAATGTGTACACACAAAATATGCGTGCACACCAAAAACATGTTCCCTTACCCAAACAACCTCGCACATACTCCGAGTGCCTCCCTGATAAGGCTTCTGACTCGACTCCACCTCAACCAAAAAAAAAATGCAGCCGCTGACTGACAAGAGGTTGACAAATAGATAAGCTTCTGGTCTCCTTCTTACCCACACAGCCACAGTTAGGGCAGACAATGATGATGGAATTTCTACCCTGCTTATTTACATTTACAGTTGATGCCACAGGGCTCAAAACTCATTTGTGACTCAAAGAGGTGTTTGCAATGGTTAATGTTCATTTAATTGCAAGTAAAAAGTTTTACAAAATTCATCCCAAGCTGCTTCTTTTTTCTTTCAACAAAAACATTGATAAGTTACTGCGACTGTCCTTTTTTTTTTTTTTTTTTTTATCACTTGATCCACTGTTTGAGTAAAGGGCCAAAACAACAACTGAGGACTTGATGCAGATCAGCTTGGAGGGGTCTTCGGCACACAGATTTGATCCCAGTCATGCTGTGAACCGCTGGCTGAGCTCAGAATGGGCCAGATGACCTGTTTACAAAAAGCAGCTGCTGGACCACCAGTGATGTCCTGAAAGTCTCAAATGACTGCACAGACTTTCTGGTGTTAAGAACTAAGAAGGATAATTTATTATAGAGCTGTTCTGTTTTTACAGCTTTAAGCACTTCTTTCTTTTATCCCTTTCTTAAGCAAAAACAATCTACTTGATATATTCTCATTGCACTCCTACAGTTTATAATGTGCTCCTGAATTTTTCAACTCGTGCTCCTTGGGGGGAAAAACTTAATGGTCGTTCCCTTTGCTAAATGTGCTCTAAACTTCCCGTGTTTGACTGTCTCATTCCATCCTCTGTCTCTGTCTCATTTTTTTTCCAGTCATTCTCCGATGTGTGTCACCTTAAAGCAGAATATATTTTTGACATTTTCATGTGATACTAAGGTGTAGAAAAAATTACTTAACTATTTGTAGAGACACTGTCAAAGAAATTGTGTAAACCAGCCATTATCATTTCACATAATGTCAAACCAGATTATTAACATTTAGCTTTGGATCAGATCACAGACACTGCGGAACTATAAAGATATAGGATTAAAGATATCAAAGCAAGGACATATGCCATGAGCTCAGGTTTTTATAATGAGATGTGAATCATAAAAAATCTGAGAAGAGAGATGTCTCACAGCCTCATTTACACTTGAGGACAAAAGATATAGATACTAAGAGCATCACTCTGCTATGACATAGCCTATTTGTTTTTATTTGTTACATGGTTTAGGAGAAATGTGGACAGTCACCATGTGTTTCAAGAGTTGTAGAAGACCAGGGTCAGCTGCTATAGCAACAGTTTACATGGGGACCTCATTGTTAAAGAGAGATGTTGTTTGTCTATTGTGCAGCATTCTCAACAGTGACGACTGTGGGCTCAGGTTCCCAGATTAAAACCAACATATTGACATTACACAAGAGGAATAAAGCATGACACTTTGCAAATCCTGTCAATAAAAGTAAGGTGAGCTAAGTCAAAATAAAATCTTTCAAATTCACCTCTCCTGAAAAGTCTGAAAGAAAACACTCGCTAACACAAACACTGCAAAATGAAATCTGCCGTCGGCCTGACAGATAATTGAGGAGCCTTGCCCAACCAGAGTTACCAAAATCGCCCGTCAACATGTAAGCAACCTGTTAGTAATCTGTATAGACAGTCACTCCTATTATGCAGTGCTTTGTGTTGCATCTGGGCCTAGCCTCTAGTATTTATCCAACAACCAGGTCAGGTCACACCCTCGCAACAAACTGTAGGCCAGTGTCTGCGGAGATCAGTCGAAAAGCAAAACCAGCTGGGGGAAAAAGCTCACACCATACTATGTTACACCATGAACATGGAGTCAAATGCTACAGGGATCAGTATAACAGATCTGCATCAGTGAAGCATATGAACAATGGTGTGGCAGGTATCTACTGCGTGGTGTCTACAGTGGCTCAACACATTCAATAGGTCCTTCTGCTATCTCATCTGCCACAGATTGTAAATGGATGTCTGGCACAATTGCTGCCAAAACAACCAAACGTTTTTAGAGGCACTTAAAAACACTGACGTAGATTTCACACACTGACTAAAGGAACAGACTAGAACAGCAATGGCATGGTGGAAGAACACACCCAGTGATCATTCTCCCTCAAGACAAATATCAACGCAGGGATACTAGCTAGACTGTGTCTACTATTTTCTCATATCTGCCTCAGTATCTTACGTGGAGGCTATAGCTGCGGGTCAAATCAACGAAACATTTAAAGAGAGGGCGAAGCAGATATAAGTGAAGGACAGGTTATTGTGGCAATTATACCCCATTGAGGAGTATATCTTAGCATAGGCAAGCACACAAAACACAAATGTGAAAAAAAGTCACAACAAGTTGCAGTTTTCCTTGTATCTGTGGTCTTTCTACATATTGTGGTACCAGATTAATTTAGTGTTGCAGGGTGATCCTATTATGTTGTTTCAGAAGAAAAATAATTCATTTTGTGTTAGAGATGAGCCGAGTTTGGCGAGCCTGAAGCCTAGCTGGAGCTCTGCAGTTGCTAAGCATTAGCCTGGAGAGTTGCACACGGTGATTAATCATCAGAGTCATGCACCATTCTCCCTCTCTGTCTCTCAACAACTGGCCAGCTGACCAGCATAGCACTCATCCCCAACAGATTGCTGGGAGTGTACACACACACAAACGCTGCCCTGGTCACTTGTCATATCCAGAGACACAAACACACAACGATTAGATGCAAGCAAGACACACACAATTTACAGGGTAGTGAACGTCATTGTGCGCCTACAAAAGCTTGCCCACATACGTATAAACATAGAAAACATGGCATGACATACTATATTATTTACAGGCAGCAGTGAAATGAAGCCTGGTGTGCCAGGATAAACAGAAGAGTAGGCATAATAAAGTGATTGGCATTATGCAGCCTCCAGCAAGCCCTGTCGCCATTTCTGTTTAGTTTGACCCTGAATCATTAAATGTGCAGCGAACATATCTTTATGTCCCGGGATTACGCAAATCTGTTGACAATGTCTTGATAAATGGTAAATAGTCAATAAATTAACAGATAACTCTACATCCAAACTTCAGGACTCCCAAGGTAGTTGTTTACGTTTTCCTATAAAGATAAAATAATAATAAACCCTTTAAAGGTTTGATGAACTGCAAAAGTGGAAATGTTTGAAGTAACAAAACAGATCAGATTAACTGCAAATTGGCTCCTTCAGACAGATTTTAATCTTAGGCACCATAAAACAGACGGGACAACCTCCAACTGATTTTGATGACACGTAGAGCTGTGAAGCATGATTAAATAGAGCATACTGTAGGTGATTAACTCCCACATTAATCTTCCATGTCACCTGCCAGTTCGTGAGAAATGGAAGTTGAGGGAAAGTGAAAGAGTTTCAAAAGTAACGGGGTAAACAGTAGTGTGATTATTTCGACATCCATGTAACATTCATTGCTGGAATAAAGCACCTTACTTGCTTCTGATCACAACCCCGAGACATCGTGGAGAGAGGAAGCCAGAGGCAAAGATGGGAAAAGGAAAGTGGCAGATGAAAGAAAGGGGATGATGGAGAGAGGAAAAGCGGGTATTGAAGCAAGGCTGTGTACAAAAACCTAAGAAGAAAAGGGGGCAGGAAAGGGAAGCAGGTTGAGCTTTTGAAGCCTGTGATAATGTTTCTTCCTGGTCTAAGTATTTCAAAGGCCTGCTATGACATTAAATACCCCCAACTGTCAAAAACAACCTGCTGCCCAGTGCTGCAGCTGAATGGAGTGGTGGACAGTGTGTACATGCGTACAATTGGGGTGTAACCGGAGTGACAGGGGCCTGCGTTCCAGCAGTATCTGCACTGGCTGGGGATTACACTGAACTGGCTCTTTTATTGTATGCAATGAACTAGGCTAAATACTTTATGACACTTCCATTTGGACTCTGCTTTGTCTTCTACCTTTGTTAAAACACATGTGGCGTTGACATAGGCCAGGGACTAATTAGGACTTGTGCACACATGAGAATGTGCACATACACACATAATTTCTCTTTCAGAGCATCAAGGATGTGAGAAGGGCACAATGAGGCTGTATGCGCAGCAGAGCTATGTTCTTGCCAGCACAGCTTGGGCCGCTCATTAGTCCCAAAAAATTTCTCGTATTTAACACCACTGAGGTAATGCCTGAAACCTCCAGCTTCATACTGGTTCAGAGTGTAGGTAGGTGTGCATGTAAGCAAGAGAATTTGCATGTATATGTCATAAATGAAGGAATTTACATCTGAAAGGAATCAAGCATCTTAATTAAATGTAAACATCTCTTCACCAACTGCTAAAGAGACCATTGGCTTCAACTCTTGCTCAACTTTTTCACTGACTATTCACATGATGATAATTCAACCTTGAGAGGTCTCAATGAATTAGCTCTTGCTGAAAGCCATCAGCAAAGATATTCTGAATGTATGCAATGTAAGACATTGTAACCATGCACACTGTGATCCAATCTGAAAATCAGTGATGTGACACAGAAATGTTACAGATACACCTGGTAACATATTCAGACAACAGGTGTTTCCACTGCAGATCTGAAGAAACACTTTAATAACATATCTTTATAGAGCAGCACTGTATAAGTCTGCAGTGTATGTATATGTAAGCTACAGAAACAGTGAGGATGTAGCTGTAACCAACAGTTACTTAGGTAGCTTACTGAGACAATATCCTGTCCTGGCTTACTCGCCTTCAGGCACTGCAGGTCTTACCATGGTCACTGGCCAAATCTACCAATGCAAATCAGCCTAGTACACCTGACACAGCAGCAGGCATCTTACAGTGAACATCACAGGTGAGGAAGAAGGGAACAGGGAGAAAAAGATATTGGAGGGTGTGGAACAGGGTTTCCTGGCATTAAAAAACTAATTTCTGGTCTAAAGCTAACTACCAGCTGACCAGTGCATTAGCAGTTAGCGGCAGACTGTTTGGCAAGGGCCCAACGTAAATGCTAAAGCTGCTCTAATATGGCAACTGCACTGCTTTTCGCAGCAACAGCATTGGTACTGGAACATTGGCACATACGTGTGCCATGGTGCCGTACACCATTATGGATACTATCCACCAAATGGTCTAAACACATTTGCTAATTTACACACAAATCACTGTTGTAGCCTAAGGCAATGCCAACCCCCTGAAGGTGAGCAGAATGAGGGATCTTAGCCTTAGCAGCTAGCCACGGTCACACAGCAGCACAGTGAACCTCAGCATGTGTTATATATGTCTTGTAAATGTTCTGCAAGAGAAGCCCCAACGTCCATGGTCAAGGAAGTATCACACCCCAAGTTTCTTAAGAGCAAGTTGCTAAAACCAATAGTAAAGCATATAAACCCTTTCAAGTAATAACTAAAAATGAACCTTAATATGTGTTTATATCTACTGAACAGCATCTTTATGGCCATATTTCAGAGGTACAATTATATGGGGGTCAACTTACGCATTCAGAGCTGTGTTTTGCAATCTCATTTGTATAAAGAGTTAAGTAATAAACGATCTCTACAGTGAAGTAACATTGATGGTACATAAGAGGGACAATTAGGTTTCTAAGTCAAAAGCTACTGAGCCTTCATCTGTTGTGTCAGTGCTAAAATGGAAACTATGTGAGGCAGTTGGAGCAGGCTACTGGAATAGTGTGACAACAGTTCCTCATGCCGTGTGTTTAGTGCAGAGTTACAGGAGCGACGGTATTTCAATTACCAAACCTGGGGGGTTGCCTTGTGTTAGGCAACATGTGTCATCAGTCATCTGAACAGTGCATGATCTCTGACAAACACTGACGAGCACCACTGACTGCTGTCTTTTTTTAAAGTAAAACAAAGCTCTTGATCAAACAGTTTTGACTGACACACTTCTTCAGTGGTAATCAAATGAAAGTCACTGAAGAGGAAATGGCCCTAGTCAACTGGTCCTACAGACGTAGCAATTTTCATGTCACATCTAAATACAGACCCAGAAAATGAAAGTCAAAATCAACTCTGACAAAGATATCTTTCAGAGTGAACTCCAGAGGAGGCGTCTGATGAACAAACCTGACACTTGGTTGACTGTGTAATAATTTAACAGTGGTTTCTACAGTGACGGCTTCAATGCTGCAACGTGATCAATGGCTGCAAAGACCAAAAATGACACACTTTTCTATAAATTGACAGAAGAGAATAACAATACTGTCAGTTAACAGTTTAGATGAACACATGATATTTGGATATCATTTGATGCATTTCCTTAGTCGGACCAAACCCTAATTTCCTAAGTGTATCTTGTAAATGCTTCTCAGCTTTTGGATTGCACAAAGTGAGTCAATATCTAAAAGTGACATTAATCCAGAAGTCAATGGAAGATGTGAACATACTGTAGGTGAAATGATTGAGAAACACATTTGGGAGCACACAGTGATGTGGTAACACATTTGCTCTAGTTGAAAGAAATTAAACTAGAGCATTTACAAATTTGATAGACTCTACTTTTCCACATATGCATAGATGCAGGAGCACAGAGGACTGATTCTGGAGGAAAATAAGAGAGTAGCTGAATTTTAAAAAATCTGTACACCTGAGTAGAAATGTGTGTGTAGTCTAAATCAGGGAACTTATCCACTGGCTATTGAGATGCTGTGCAATTATCACCTCACACCTGGCAATCCCAGGTCTAAGGTTTTTAGGGCAATATTAATATGAAGTTTTAGGTCCACATGTCAAAGCACAGACAGTACATTGACATGTGGACCCAACATATTAATATAGTTTTCTAATCTAGACTAAAATGACACTCACACACAAGCAGAGTAAGGTCATTCTATGCCCATCCTCCATCTGCCCTTGCAGTATCATGGGGGCAGAGGGACAATGCTACTTGAGCTGATCTGATTGAGCTACGAGGGAGAGCAACATGCTGCAGCTACAGTAATGCTCGCTTAAGCTTAAATCTGATATGGGAATGTAACAGAAGGGACTTGCTGCTGCTCAAAATGGATGCAGAATCACGGTACTGTGGCAAATATCTGAGCAAGGTGTAAGTTGATGACCCTTTTTATTTCACATCTACAATTATTAACTGCCACATCTTTCAACTATATTTAAATATAATGCCTGTCAAAGTTGAATAAATATACAGAGATAATATGACTTTAAAATATTAATATGAATGAGATCCAAATAATTGAAAACACATCCGGTATGATCGTAACCCCATGACTACCTACAGTAATTAGGCTGTTATGTGCTGGTAAATTGCTGCTCAGAGGTAAGCTTTGCTACTTATTCAGCACAAAATACTCAAGGCATGTCAAGACATGTCAGTACAAAGTCCTTCACTGCTTGGCCTGTGCCGTGCTGTGAGTCATTAATTGCAAGTGAAGATAAGAAAATACCTGAAAAGGTCAAACCAAGCATCGCTTTCTAAATTTCTAATTGAGATAATTTGCTTGTTTAGAGATTTTTTTTTATTTTTCCAGAAGAAAATGTCTCCATGAAAATAGAGATTACGACTTCCTCCGTGCATGGAGGAGGCCAGGAAATGAAGTGGCCCGTACTAGCGGTCTCTAAGTCCAATTAGTAATGTTGTTGAGCTGTTGACAGAAAATTGAAACAACAGAGTTAAGCAATCACTCAGACAATTTAACATGATCTGATAAGCAAACTGCCAGGAGATGGCTAGAAACATTGTCCAAAGATAAAAAGGCATAGAATATGCATGATACTGAAAGAAGCCTCTCATTAAGTCAACAGGCTGAGCTGGGCCAATAGCAACCTTCCCCTGTTCACCCCCGCCTCCTTGTAACGACCAACACAATTAATCATGAGCTAGATCAATAAGATTAATCCATCTCTGTGCTCCCTTTACCTCTTTCCATCAATTCTATTGGCAGATTCTACATGTGACGATACAATTATCCGCGCCATCTTCATTGTGTGTGCCTCCAGCTTTCAAAATTACAGTATGAGCAGGGTGGTATTTTTGAAAACGAGTTGCTAGGCTTCGACAGGCCTCGACCTGGGTTATTTATTAAGAGGTAATCCTGAAAAATCATTAGGCTCCATTTCACAGAATAGAATGGATTGATACCCTGTTACGTGGAAGGGGTAAAGAGCTTGGTCCTTCAATCTACCATGTTACCTGTGTTATTGCTTTCTGTTTGTTTCTGAATGGAATAAAGGACATCCCATAATGACGTCTTCTGGTTCATCTACTTTTGTCTCTCCATCTCGGTGTCTGTCATTTTAGGTGGTCCATCCCCATGATCCTTCTCCTCGCACCCTCTCTCACTTTCCCCATTTCTATCCTCCTTCTCTCATTTCCACACTTCTCCCTGTCTCTTTCTCTCCATCACTGATGTCCCCTGCACTCTCCACACCCTGACTCCTCCCTCCAGCCCCCCAGCTTGTATACGTGGCACACACACACACCACTGCAGTGACAGAGCCACATTAGTCATCATCAGGGACATACAGCTGTGGAGGTACAGGGCCCAGCGACGCCTTTCTAAGCTGACGCTGAAACAAATGCATCATGTAAATCCATGCCCTCCCCGATTTCTAAAAATAGCAGTTACACTGCATAGAGGGATCAAATTAAAAGCTAACACAAATGAAACGTTAATGATTAATATTAAGTGGCCGCTTCTGTAAAATATTCACATTAAGAAACAAAGTGTATACAAATGCTTAGGTCGATAAGCACTGAAACAATTAATGAAATAGATTTGAATATATCATACTAGTATACCAGAATTATTTCTAAATCCTACAATGAGGCCATTCAGAGGTAAACTGACCTGGAAGGGGAAGATGTTGTCACTACGGCCAACTCCATCATCCACCCAGGACTTGGGGTTGAAGCCTGCGGGACTGTTTCGTGGGTACTTCTGGGATGCCACGTGGTTGTTAGGGAAGGTCTTCTTCAGTGGAGAGATAGAGTTGATGGGGGTCATCCCACCGTTCAGACCTCGGCGATAATCTCTGCCCTGGGACCCTCCCCAGCCACCACCACCACTACTGTAGCCTCCTCCGGGACTCCAGGAGGTGGAGGAGCCGGGGGAGGGAGAGGGGCTCTGGTAGCTGGCTGGACCCCAGGGGGACGGGGGCTTGTTCAGGCTGTTGGACATATGCGGCAACTGGCTGAAAGCCGGATTCCTGTGCGGAAAGGGCGGTGGAGGGTGTGGAGAGGCCGGGGAGCGTCGATGCTGCTGGTGTTGGTTGTGAGGGTGTTGGAAGTGGGGGTGGGGCGGGGGAGCCGGGTGGTGCTGGGACAAGGCTGCCGCCGGTCCTATCTGGGGGGAGAAGTTCCCACCAAACCCTGGACTGACGTGGTGTGAGAAGTTCTGGAACAGCAGAGGGCCGTTGTTGGCAGAGGCCGGGTTGAAGAAGCTGACGTCCTCATTGATGATGGTTGATGGCGCCGTTGGGATGGCCGCCGACCAGTTGTTGAAGCCAGTGAGCGATGACGAGGTTGCGCTAGACTGGACCTGCCCAGTTCCCCCCAGACCAGACGTTTCCTGGTAATCAAAGCCCGTCAGGACTGGAGACTCAAGACGTAGCTGCTTCTCCTTTCCGTTACTACCCTCAGACGTGCCGTTGTCTGTCTTGGCTTCCTCTGACCGGGCCTTTTCCAGTTCTGAAATGATCCCACCACCGCTTCCACCCTCCTGGTGACTCCCAGGGGACAACTGCTGCTGCTTTTCTTGCGTTTCTTGCATTTCCTGTTGCTGCTGTGCTTTGGGCTTCTCTGCCCCCCCCAGGATTTCGTCTTGCACACTGTTGTGGGTGGCAGAGGCAGGGAAGAGCCAGGGAGAGCCTCCCGTGGTGCCATTCCCTGCGGCTGTGGTGCTGTTTATGAAGGCAGCAGGGCTCTGCGACACATTTTGGTGGTGGTGTGGGGGCTGCAGATGCGGGTGGATTCGGACCGGGAATGCAGACTTGTTGCCAGTGTTGTTTTGAACTAGGACTCCGAACCCGTAATCCCCCATTTGTTTTCTCCCCCCACACACAAATGCTATCCCGTGATCGTTTGGTCCTATTGAGAGAAGAGCACACAGGATGGCATGCATCGGGTTAGCAACCGGCCCCTCTCGTTCCACTGCAGATCAAGGCGTTTACATACATTCAAGTCATGGGCGCAGACATTCCCTACATATTTATATCTGTTGGGGTCTGTTCCACTCCCTCAGAGGATTCCAAGACATATGATAATCACACACAACATTGTCATGAATGAGATCATTCTTGCTCTGTACAATCTAACCTTATTACTGTGGGCAGTTGACAAAGCAAACCAGTTAACATCGCATCTTTAGCTAATTATAACCCCGTGACGTTGCCAGCTCGACTACAGCTGAGCTGCTGGCACCAGAAGAGCTAGAAGCACTGCTGTGTCGAGATCTCTCTCACACACACACACACACACACACACACACACACACACACACACACACACACACACACACACATTCAAGAGACGTTTTTTTCTAAAGCAACCCAAATGACAGAAAAGCAACCCCCCACAATTTAACGTCTAATGATTATGTATATGAATAATCGTTGAATAAATTACACTTCAACAGCTACACTTCCGACTAGAATCACTCGACCTTGTTTGACAGCTGCCGGGTCCAACCTCGAATTTGATCAGATGTAGCTCGCTCACTCGTTTGCGCTTCTCGAAACGGGTCTGATACGCCGTGTCACGCCATGCTATTCATAAATACATTTCACTGTTGAGGCGAACAGTCGAGTCGGGCGGGTTTTGGAAACGAACGAGACGAGTTAAATGCCGAGCTAGCGAGTCCACCCGTCGTGAACGTTAGCTAGCTAACCGTTAGCGCGGATGCTAGCTAGCCGGACAGGCTGGATAACAGACGAGAGAAGGGGAAGAAAAAAAAAAGAGATTTTCACCTTCTGATCACCACCTTCGACCCGGGCGATGTCTTTGTCGAGACGCTTCCCTCGGGCTGAGAGCGAGGTGTTGTCCTGGAACCGGCAGGGGAAGCTTTCCAGAGGCGGATTTGAAGGCTGACTCGTACAGTGCAGTCGGTCAGCTCCTTTTTTTCTCTCTCTCTCTCTCCCTTTTCTCCTGACGTGTCCTGCCTGCTCAATGACACAGCCTCAGATCTGGACCGTATCACCCAACAGCTTTGTTAACGTGGCAGTGTGTGGAATATACTCGGCCGCGGGTCTTTCACGAGCCTTTACTCGATGCGGTTCATTGTTCGTTTAATTTGATTCTTTTTTTCTTTTTTTTCTCGTTTATCCCGCAGAGCCAAGCCGATCCCGGTGTGTGTCTTGGCTGCCCCTCTCTCCTGGAACCGACAGTGGCCGAATAACAGCGAGAGATCAGCCGAGACTCACTTCCGCTTCTGGCGCCGCCCCCTCTCACCGCGGCCGCGCCCCCGGAGAGCCACACCTCGCCCTGTGATTGGACGGAACGCCGGCGGCCTCGCCCGATTTCCTCATCGTTTCACGGCCGCGCACCAATAGCACAGCCGTGTCACCCCTAAGCCCCTCCCACTGAGGTCGGAATCATTGCTAAATAAAAAAAAGAGAAGCGCTGCTGCACGGTCGTGTCCTTTCACGATGCAGCCGGTACCGGGTCGTGAGAAAGCTGAGATCTGCACCTCCCATCACGAAAGGATGGAAAAGAGAAACTAGGGCCCGTGCTTTTTAATCTCAGGCTCCCTCCGTGCTCGAGTGGGAATGACCTGCTTTAGAGCACGCATCCAGATTGCCACATCAGAAACGATTTGAACTAAATAAATAAATAAATAAAGCTGAATGTCTGAGCATTGCCATTCTCACACACTCTCTGTTCCGTACAACACATCTCAAAAGATAGTTCAACCAGAAAGGAAAGTTCACTAATTATCTAGTCACCACTATGTTATGACTAGGAAGGGTCGGTGACGTGTTTCGGTCCATGAAACACTTTTGGAGTTTCAGGGGTGAACAGCATTGCAGCCAAATCCAATACAATTGAAGTAACTGGTGACCCACGTGAAAAAGAAAAATACAGAAAATGCCTCCATACTGCTCCTGTGGTGTCATTCAAGTGTCTGTAGGCCCAGACATTTAAATTGGACTCATTTATACCATGTTTTTAGTCTAAATGTCCGCTGTTATCCTCCTGCCTGGAGCCACGTTCATGTTCCTACATACACACCGCACAAGATCTCAGCCAAGGGTGCACAGTAGCATCGCTAGTTCCGGTAGCATCGCTGCAGCTACTGCTGAGTATCGCTGATGTCGTCACATGTCCCTTGAGCGAGAGCTTGTGCGGTGTGTGCACAATTAGAATCTGAATCAGGTTTATTTGGCTGGTTAGCACACACAAGAAGTTTGATTCCAGCTAATGGTGACGCTCTAGTGCAAATAATACAGAATATACAGTACAACATTAAGACACTGTACAGAAAATATGTAGACAATATACAATTCAATACATAGACAGTGTGTATTGCATTATACACAATACAGAATACAATTTATACACAATGTACTATGTGTATATTATTACAGGACCTTTCGAGGACAATGGAAAGGTCACGTAATTCATGATATTCCATCTCTTTGAAAAAACATGAGTCTAAATTATTTAAGAATTTCTGCATCCTCGAAGTTACTACAACTGCAGAACAACAAGTCTCTGGTATCCACACAGGAGAACCACTGAGGCCCTAATGAGCTGTGGATGAGCCTTTGTTTTGACCTTTCTTTAGACGGAGTAAGACGAGCTCCTTCCATGGGCCTCTCAGGTCTTTACGCTAAGCAATGCTAACTGCCTGCTGGCTGAAGCTCTTTATGTAATAGACACATAGGACAGTTGTACAAATGTGAGCATATTTCCCTAACATGTCACACATCCATTGTCCATGATAACCTTCTTTAAAACTTGCATAACCATCCAAATATTTTATCTTTCGTTATTCCTTCTCCTTTATTCTGATTCCCATATTGCAGTTGCTAATACAATAGTTTAATATGTGATATATCGCAGTACTTCCACTGTAGGGTATCACAACATAGCCCGGCTCAGAGATCTGTCCATCTTCGATTTCTCGGCAGGATGTCTGATCATCGAACCCCTTTGACTTTATCTCCCGCCCACACCATTCTGCACATCTCTTTATCTCCCTCTCTGTCCTCCTCTGTGTCCTTCTCCGCTGTATGGTCATTATCACTTGGAGGTCATCAAAGAGCTTTGACTCCGTCAGTCTCGCCGACCCTCAACCGGCAGTGCTACATGCAGCCGCAAATGGCTATCTAATAAATCTGTCACTTCAAGTCCAGCTGGGAGAGGGTGATAAATTGTAGGATCTGTAGTGTTCGGCTGTGTACAGAAAGGGTGAGCAGTGTGGAGGGGGGGCGGTATTGACAGGGTTCTGTACAGTGACCGGCTTGAAGTAATCCGATTAAAAAAATATATTACTGATATCTGATAGCAACAAATTGGTTTGAGTTGTGCAAATAACCACACATGAGATAGAATTTGAAAGAACATGTAGCCTTACAACTAAGTTATTTATTTCAACAATTACAATTAGATGCTAAATATAAAGGTATATTTTCTAATTAGGAAAATTTCACATTTTGATCTTGTTTCTGTGTTTACATCCATTGTTTCCAAAGACAGACCATTCCCTGAACCACAGCATTCACAACAGTCCTAACGTCATATCATGAAATTACATGTGAATACAATTTCAAATTTAATTTAAACACCTTTTTGGTTTGGTTAGCGTTGGGGACAGGGGAAGGCTTAGGGGTGACATCATGACACATGCAATGACCATAGACTGTTTTGAAAGATGGAAGTCATGACAGCTCCCTAAAAGTGATGCTTAAGTATCTCCATCGCCTCCTGGTGGCTGGTTGTAGTACAGGTCATAAACCCCAACTCCTTCATGTTAGTGGATGGGACAAGCACCAAATTACAAAGTAAAACATATCAAATAAAATAAAATGTTCTGATGGTGTCTGTCATTGTGGTTAATTCTTACAATACTGATGCTTGTTCAAGTGTTTTGTGGATAGTGGGTGGAAGTGGAGACCATGACATAAAAAACACAAAAATCCCCAAATCTCTAGCGACAACATGCAACATTTCTGAAGGAAAAACGATGTGTTATTTATGTCTCTTGGTGATAGCAGGCTGGTCCACGTAATCTGGAATCCAATTTGATTTTATTAGGGGGATGGAAAACATTTTACAAGGAGCAGCATCTGCCAAAATCTCTTTAACGTCCAAATGAAACATCAATGGATAATTTCTTTTTATGAATTCTGATTTTAAAGTGTAACATTTTCTGTCCTTTTATTTTCTCTGGTCTAATGTGATTTAAAGTGAAATCATTTAATCGTCTTATGATAATTATGTAATAACGCAGCAGCTATGTTCCAGATTATAATTATTATCATTGCATAGCTGCTCCACATTTGTATCATTTATTCCAATCATTCCTTTGTGTGACCTCCATTTCCTCTCCTCATTTCCTAATCTCTGTTCAACAAGCAAAAGTGTTCAAGTGAATTCTTAACCATACACCGGAGGGAGAGAAGCAGCAGGAGGAAGGAGCAACATTTGATAGTCGTAAATGTGCTCCAGCTTTACACTGTCTCCTGCATAGGGCACAGTATTCATCTCTCAGTGGGGTGGATGATTAGACTGAGAGCTTGGTACTGTAAATGGATTTCTGGGACAGAATAACCGGTCTGACTGGCCTAACTCTGGGGACAACACCCTCTCTTCCTTCTGCTCGCTGTCTGTCTTTCACTCGCTGTCTCACAAACGTCTTATCAAATCGCCCATGTCCAGAACACCATGAAAGCAAAGCCCAAAGCAGAAAAGGCATACATATTTATGGAATTTACATTTTCTGTATCTACAGTTTTGGTCGAAAATGGTTCTGTGTGATGCTACTGAGATATGTAATTTGTCTACTGTGTAAAATAGCTAATAGCAAGTTTTACCATGTGTTCTCTCTCTGGCAGTGTGTGTGCATGTGTGTGTGTGTGTGTGTGTGTGAGTGTGTGTGCGCGTGCGTGTGTGTATGTGTGTGTGTGTGTGTGTGTGTGTGTGTGCTCTGTGCCATATCCAAGACTGGATAGGTGCTATGAATAAAACATTGAATCCATTAAAAAATTAATCGACTCTACCTTAGGCATAATTATGGTGCAATTCCTCCCAGAGTGCATGTGTGTGTGTTTTTGTAGGTGTGAGTATGCTGTTAAATGCATATGTGCACATGCTAAGCTCATAAGCTGCAATCTTTATGGCCTATATCTTAAATTTCAATTGAACATGTGCCTGCTAATGTGATGATTAAAAAAAAGAAAGAAATTCAGCAGCCCATTCACGCGATTGGCCAAACTCTTGTCCAACTTGACATTTGGCAAATACAAGGTCCTGACTCGTCAGTAATTGTATTTGTGTAAATTATGTGGAGTTTTGTGTGTTGTCTCATAGATAGTTTTGAACGATGGAACAAAGCCTTGTGATGTGCTGCTGTTTGTGTTTATGTCTTATGAAATATTCAGAGATGGTACATGTTGCTAACAAAATGGTGAGGACATGCTCCTGGGTGGCTCTGGGACACAACAAAGACCTCTGAGTACAAGGTGGAGCAGGAGGGGGGGGGGGGTTAAATTAGATAATGCAAAAAGCAAATATGTGAGAGG